GGGTCAGAAGTGGTGCGACTCAGTTGCAGAATGGGAGGAGGGTCAATTTGTAGAGCAGGAGAGGTGTGTATGGTTACACTGCTTTGGTATACCAATTAACCTTTGGAGTGTCACAACCTTTCGCAGTGTAGCTAGCCATTGGGGTTCGGTGGTTCAATTTCAGGAAGATATAATTAATCCTAGCACCTTCCATCAAGGAAGAGTTCGAGTGTTCACGAGGTGCATGGAGTTGATCAACACAAAATGGAAATAAAAAGAGGAATATTAAAATGGAAATTAAATGAGGAATATTTTGGAATTGGTTAATAAATTTAAAATGATGTTGTTTCTTAAACATATTTGTTTTCAAAAAGGATTTACGGTTTTCTGATGATAAGGGAATAATATTTATGGTTGAAGGTTTTCTTTAAATGTTCAAATAATTTTTTGAGAAAAATGTACTCTATTTATGATATTTTGAAATTACAAAACATCACCTTACTATATGGTATCACCTTGCATGCGTGATCATTTCTATGTATGTGTTAATTATTGTTGTGGAACTATGAGATTCCTACTAGGCAATTATGCTCATACCTTATTGTTTCATTTTTCTTATAGGAAAAGAATTCAGATTGATTGGTTAGCGGGTTAAGAAGTTCATGTATTTTTTTTTTAATGTGTAATTTCGTAGTAGATGGGAAAGAAATGAATTCTGTACATTGACGTTTGTAATTATTTATTTGTAACTCTATAGCCGAAGCTTAGCGTGTACTATTGTTATTGTTGTATTAATTGAGAGCGAGAACATGTATTATTATGTTTCTATTACTCAAGGGTAATAGATAGTTGAAAAAAAATGGACCTAAATTACAGGCTTTTGGTAATGTTTCCGAGTAATTAAAATTTGGGGCGTGACAACCACCATCTTAAACAACCTTTCCAAGGTTTCCAAATACTCATACATTCTTTAGGTAAAGCGTAATATACACCATTCAAGTAATTTGATGGAGCAAGGAGGAACAATATTCATAATTCAAGAAAAATCTCAAGATGTTCCAATTTCACAAATCTCAAATAATGTATATTCAAAATATCATAATCCATTCATCAATTTTAAATAATTGAAATCAATAACCCCCCAAAGTTTACAATTAGGGTTAAAAATTTGGGGCTCGTACCCCTAAATCATGTTTAACACTAATTTTCAAGTCCAATATCCATAATCCAAAAGCTTTATTCAAAATCTTAAGAAAATTTTTGGTAACATTTCAATTTGAAAACGCAAAATCCAATTTATGAACACCCTCTTGAAACATAGCATCAAAGTCACAATAACACCACACAATCATCCTCAAGATAAAGAGATACAAGGTTAAAAGTGATCCTACCTCAAGGATAAGAACAAAGAAGCTGGCCCTAAGATGAATCCTTAGAGAAACAAAAATCTAATTGGTAGAAATGCTTTGTCTTAACCCAAACTTTGATTTTGTTAAGGAATGAAGGTGTAAATCTTAGTAGAATGAGAGATTTCTAGAGAAAGAACTAGGGTTTTCAGGAGAAAGGTGAAGAAAGAAAAGAAAAGTCAAAAGAATGATCTAGAAAGTAACTTTTTAAGTTGCTGGAGTCGAACAAACCGCTCGAGCAATGAAAACGAGATACTGGGGATCTCCCTTATCTTAAACTCTCAGTATTTTTGCTCGAGCAGTGAACTTAAACTCTTAGTGTTTCCATCTACAAAACGAGATCATGGGATCATGGACAAGTAGAAGTTACCAACCAATGGACACGTGGCAGTATGGCATGACCAGTGAAGCCATATAAGAGCAGGGAGTTCGAAGAAAGAAAGACTTTCAGCCAAATTCACAACACTTGTGAAATCTAGAAGTAGTTTAATTTAGGGTAAATTATGCAAATGGTTTCAGTAATTTACACGATGTGTCAATTTGATTCGCATGATTTTAATTTGCTCGATTTTTCTCTTTAATTTAACAGATTGTGTCATATTAGTCCAATAAATAACAACCGTTAGGTTTGGTGGATGGAAACTAAAAAATGTGTCAATTTGGTCTCTGTTGTTTTAATTTGCTCGCTTTTGATAGGGACCAAATTGATACATCGTGTAAACTATATGGACCAAATTGACACATCATTTGAGTGTCTGTCCACTAAACTTAATAGCCATTATTTATTGGACCAATATGACACAATCTATAAAACTAAGGGCAAAATCGAACAAATTAAAACAACATGGATCAAATTGACATATCATGTAAACTATAGAGACCATTTGAATAATTTACCGTTTAATTTATCATAGGAGTGGTTCTTGTACTTAGAAGTAGCAACAATAATTTCAATTCTTGTAACTCATTTGGCCCTGTCGATTGTAATGCTATAAAAGTTGTAATTTAATTCTTATAATTAAGTGACGAGTTTGAGTGTTATTAATCAAATTCTCATTATGTTTGCACTTATTTCTTCACATTACAACCTCTAAAGAAGTCTTTGAATCTATCGAGGTATAGGACACTAGCTACATTGCTTGATTAATTTGCTATTTGTGAAAATTAATTTTCCCTGTCGAATCACCTCTATCGATTTGACCTAAACTTAATTTTTGCTAACAAGCCCACCACGAATTCTATTTTGATGATCCAAACTATTCATTTTGTCGAGTACTTCGAATATTTCACCCACACAAAAAATTAGGTCGATCTAATACATTGAATAGGTTATGGTTATTGGATTGTTCTAATTTTTTTATGGATGAAATACATGAAATATTCAACAAAATGAACGATTTAAATCATAAAAAATAGTGCCCTCTAGTCTAGATTATGGACCAGAGAGAATGCTCCTAGTCCTAAATGTACATTAATTTGTTTGTAAATGTACAATTATGTTGAGCATGTTAATGTTCAACCGTAATGGTACTGGTTAACAAGCTTCAAGTTGCATATGCTTGGTTCAAAAACGTAATACTAACCTTCAAATTACTACCAATTGAACTGAAAACGTCTTTGAGAACTTGTTTTGAATGTAATTTGAAGTTTGATAATATAAGATAACCTTAGATTCCATTGAAAAAAGAAATTTAAGACTATGTTTGACTGATAAGAATCTTAAAAGAGAATAGAAATCTCATTATTAGTAATGAGATTACTAGTAATAACATTCACCTATCAATCCTATTCAAGCTTTTGGTTTCATTAGGAATGCTTAATAAAAAAATAATAAAATTAGAAATATTATGGGGACAATTATTTATTGTTTTTTTAATTTTATTTTTAAAAGACTAACATTCCTTCAGAATGTGAGATTCAACGGGTAAGGGAGCTAATATAATTATTACTTAGTTTGGAAATGCCATTTCTACTTAAATAAATAATCAAAAATCACTTTCTCATTTTAATTTATTCTAAACACTCTAATTAATTATTAGAGTCCAAAATTAGTTCCATTCTTTTTCAAAATTACCCTCATTCAAACATAACATTAATTCATTAACAACTCATAGCCAGTATTTAATTGAGATTAACCTGTTGAGTGAGAGACTATATTATAGGGCAATTTTTTATAGGAGATATTTTTATTTAGGACTTGGCTTCCCTTCGGTCCAGTCCCAGATCAGATTGGAGGGTGTTGTTGGACTCATGGGGACTCATCACGGATCTCGTTTCGATAATCCGAACCGTTTAATGTGTAGAACTCGTCAAGTACTATATGCCCATAAAAAATCATGTTGATCGGATATCGATAGCTGTCTTATCGGATCAGTTTTCTGTCAATCGTTTATTTTTTCACCGTCTATTTTGTTTATATAAAACTAATTTGATCACGTAGCTATAGATATTCGATCAACGTAATTTTTAAAAGGCATATAGTACTCGACGAGCTCTACATATTGAACGGTGCAAATTATCAAAACAGGACCTGTGATCTGTGACTGGAGGGAAGCCAGTGCCTTCTATTTAGGGCAAATTACCAACACCCCCCTCGAGGTTTGACTAAAATACGGATTCTCCCGTAATGTTTGAGAAATTATATCCCGCTCCCTGAGGTTTATATTTGCATAATAAATTGTCCCCTCATTTGTTATGCAAATATATACTTTAGGAGGCAATTTGTAAATTTTCAAATCTCAAGGGGGAATTCGTTTTTTAATCAAATCTCGAGGGAGGTTTTGGTAATTTTCCCTTTTATATTTATGTACATAAAACCCATCAAAGCTTCATTAGGACATTTTTCTTGAAATAGAATGTATCAATAAGAATTGGAAAAGTAGTTACAAAGCTAACAATGCAAACAATGATTTACATTAGGACCGAGGCAGCTAAATGAGAGCTTACTGCTCATAGTCAAACAAACCATGGCAGCCAAATTACAGCTAACTGTTTATAATCAAACAAATTCTCTAGACAAGAAACCACCACATCATGCCAAATAAACAACTTCATTAACAATTTATTAGAAAAAGAAACATTAATTCAAGTTTTCAACTTCATGTCTTGGCTAAAACCAAGCCGAGCTCCACAAGTCTATGGACACAGAATTGATCATTGAATCAACCAGATCATAAGAAGAATAGTTTAAGTGAAATTATATTTTTTATGATGAATTCTATCATTTGATACATCTGATTTGAGTGAAATTATATCTTTTATGATAAATCTATCACGTCAAATGTATAGCAAAAATTGTGTTATATGGCCAGTTATGACAAGTCGGGTTGAGGCCGACTTCGTGCATTCTTTGTCTTGTGGCTAACAAACCTGTCACATGCTTGTCCTTCCTCTCATTGACAATGAAATTTCATGAGGCTGTACCCTTTATTTTTACTAAGCAAAAGAATATCCCTCTGTACACCTTTCTTTATTAATTTCTTGTTATTATCCAGAAGAACCTTGTCCTGAACGTCCCTGAATTTACAGTACTTTCCTACCATTCATTACCACCCTAAAAAAACCAAGTATATAATGAGCCCAACCACACAATAAGCTCAGTAAGCAAAGCCCATCTCTGTCTCTCTCAACAAAAATGGCAAGCAACAATCTTGCTGTGCTTAATGCTTTAGACACTGCCCGTACACAATATTACCATGTTACCGCCATTGTCATAGCGGGCATGGGATTTTTCACTGATGCTTACGATCTGTTTTGCATTTCCACTATCTCCAAGCTCTTGGGCCGCCTTTATTACTATGATCCTTCCACTGGCAAACCCGGAAAGCTCCCTGTAAACGTCAACAACTTTGTTATCGGAGTTGCCTTAGTTGGAACCCTCACTGGCCAGTTAGTCTTTGGTTGGCTTGGTGACAAACTAGGCCGAAAGAAAGTTTACGGTGTCACTCTCATTCTCATGGTTATCTGTGCCATCTGCTCCGGCCTATCTTTCGGTGCCAGTGCAAAATCAGTCATGTTTACGCTTTGTTTTTTCAGGTTCTGGCTAGGGTTTGGCATTGGTGGTGATTATCCCTTGTCTGCCACCATCATGTCTGAGTATGCCAACAAGAAAACTCGAGGGGCTTTTGTCGCTGCGGTTTTTGCCATGCAAGGTGTTGGGATTATCTTCGCCGGGCTAGTTTCCATGACTCTTTCCAGAATCTTCCTAGCGAAGTTCGAAGGGCCAGCATTTCATATTGACCCTGTCCTCTCCACTGAACCCGAGGCCGATTTCATGTGGCGGATCGTGTTGATGCTCGGAGCTCTCCCAGCGCTCTTGACTTACTACTGGCGGATGAAGATGCCCGAAACAGGCCGATACACTGCCCTCATTGGAGGAAATGCGAAACAAGCTGCAGCCGACATGGGTAAGGTTCTTGAAATCGAAATCCAGGATGAGCAGGACAAGGTGGTTCAGTTTAAGGCTAACAATGACTACCCATTATTGTCTAGAGAGTTCTTTGACCGACATGGGCTTCATTTAATAGGTACTGCGACTACATGGTTCTTGTTAGACATATCTTTCTATAGCCAAAACCTGGCTCAGAAGGACATATTTCCAACCTTGGGTCTCACAAGTAAAGCTACCGATGTCAGTGCTGTCAGAGAAGTTTTCCAGACATCAAAGGCCATGTTCATAGTAGCCTTGTTCGGGACATTCCCTGGTTACTGGTTCACAGTGTTTTTCATCGAAAGAATTGGTCGGTTCTACATTCAACTAATTGGCTTCTTCATGATGTCCGTGTTCATGCTTATTTTGGGTCTCAAATATGATTTCCTCAACACGGAGGAACACAAATGGTACTTTGCGCTCCTCTATGGGCTGACTTTTTTCTTTGCGAATTTCGGTCCTAACAGCACGACATTCGTGCTTCCAGCGGAGTTATTCCCGACCCGTCTGAGATCCACATGTCATGCCATAAGTGCGGCCTCAGGGAAGGCTGGTGCAATGATCGGTGCATTCGGGGTGCAGAGCTATACATTGAATGGTGAGAGATCGAAGATTAAGGCAGCAATGATATTTTTGGCATTTACAAACATGCTTGGATTTTGTTGCACATTTTTGGTGGCGGAGACGAAGGGGCGATCATTAGAGGAAATATCAGGTGAGGATGGAGGGCAGGGCGGGAATGAAACCCAGATGACAGGAAGATCGTCCACGACGGCTCAACAGGAGGATACGTGGGAGGGATATAATTGATGGCTGTTTTATTTGTTTGGCTTCGGAAGAAGAATTTATACCTCGGCAAGTCAAGCACCTGGGATTAATAAAAGAAACTAGTAATTAAAAAAAATGGAGATAACAATAAAATGGGCAAGAAGACACAGGATTAAGGTTGGTGTTTTCTGTTATTCAATTTATCTATGTTCTGTCCAAAAAATGAATGATGGGTTAAATTTTTATTTTTTATGTGGCAATGGAAAGATTATAATTATTAAATCGATCTAATTTTTTTTTCCCCATAAATGATAGATATGAAAATCTTACAAAATGAACGATTCAAATTATTGAAATAAGACCATGTTAATTTTTACCAGTCCGAATAACACCCTCCAATTTAAATCTAGGATTTGACAACCTTATAAAATTCTTAAACTTTGTTTGTCAAATTATTAAAATCATTCAATCTATCTTAGCGTATGTTATGATTTTATTTCTAAAGAGAAATTACTTGACAATGGGACAAAGAAAAAAAATTATAGAAATATGAGAATGCAAGTGAATCTGTGGTAAGGTACAAATAAAAAGCTGTAAAGGTATAAGTCTTACTTGTGTCTCTCCATGTTTGTGTATATATATTTTTATCCAACTGTTAAGTAATTTTCCCTATTCCTAATAGTGTAATTGGAAGAATAACATTTACAGAATTTAAGATTTAAAAATTAATTTAATTTAGGATAAAAGACCGTTTTAGTTTTTAAAGTATGCGTTTTTTTGTCATTTTAGTCCTTAACTTTCAATTTTGTCAATTTGATCCTTAAATTTGTTAACTTGAGTTAATTTGGTCCTACCTCTAATGTCCATCTACATTGATAACGAAAACAATATAGATAAAAAATAGTTTTGATTCTTGAAGTATGCGTTACTTATCATTTAGTCGTTTAAGTTTTAATTTTGTCATTTTAATCCTCAAAATTATCATATTGAGTCAATTTAGTACTAAATCTAATCATATTATGCCACATGTCTATTTACCTTGAATATGTATCCTTGTACAGTATCACCATACACAACATCTGTCTCATTTCTTTCTCTTTTCTAAGTAGTAACTCAAATCTCAAATCACGACCATTATAGGGCAAAAGAAATTAAGGTGTCGTTTGGCATGATATTAATATAGTTAAAAAAGTCAAAAAGTCACATAAAAAATCAAAGATTCATTTTCATTCTCTTTATTTTTATACATTTTATTTTTTGTGTGTAAAAACATTTAGTTTTTATTTATTTATTATTTTATAACGTCACATTTTAGCTAAAACGTTTATATAAAAAAAAAATTTACTACTTAGAAAAGAGAATTTACTACTTAAAAATTTAGAGGGGTATTACTACTAGAGGGGTTTTGGACTAAACTGTAACTATTAACACTGTTAACTATAGACGTGAAATGACTATAATACCCTCAAACTTTGTACCTTTTTGTTATTTTCTTTCTTTCTCATCTCTCACACACATAATTTATAATATCTAGTATTAATTCAATTAAATCACAATTAATTATAAAACTTTAATTATTTATTGTAATTCTTAAATTTCTATTCTAATTTTAATTCAATTATGTTTTAGATCACAATTAATCATAAATTCTTAATTATTTATTATAATTGCAAACATGTTAATCTAATTTGAATTTAATTACATTTAGATCAATTCTTACTTATTGTTTATTTTATATTTTATATTTTAGATCAATTCTTAATTATAATTTAATTTATTTTAATTAACATATTAATCTAATTTTAAGTTTGGAGAAAATAGGGGTAAAGTAATCATTTTGTTGTATCAATTTCATTCTAGATTTTCAAAAAATAAAACCCACTCTAAAAAAAGGTATGTGTAATACACCTCCCGTTAATTTGGATGAAAAAGCTAACGGTAACACATTAGTTCAAAACCACATGGGAATTTTCTAACTATATTTAAATGATAGGGGGTAAAGTGCTCGAGTTCGGTTGCGATCCAGTTCTGTCCGGTTGTCACTCGAGCGCTTCTCCTCGAGCAAGAGTTTGAGGGGTGAGTTTCTACCTTTGTTTGGAGGTGTCCTAGCTGGTGGTCGGTGCTCAGTGGGTGTGCGGATCCGCGGCATGTGATTGAAGACCTGTTGGTTTTGGTGCTTGGCAGTGGGTATTGGGTGCGAGAAAGAAGAGGACCTGATGTAGCAGAGGAGGTGTAGTTATTTTTTTGTAGGCTGCAGCACAGGTTATGGCGTGGGGATTGGGTGTGAGCAAGAAGAAGATCTGGTGGGAGATGCTATGTGGGTGTCTTCGGCAGTGGGTGTTGTTGTGTAGGCAGTGGGTGTGCAGCCGGGGTGTAGTTCTGTCGGCAGTGGGTGTTGTTCCCGGCGGTGGTTTTTGGAGTCTTCTCGGCAGAGGCATGGCTTGTTGGTGGAGTGGGTAGTAGCTATGGAGTTGCAGCAGCTTAGAGGTGGCGTGGGCAGCAGCTAGGAGAGGGTGGTTGAAGCTGCAGAGGCATGTCTTGTTCTTGCAGCAACGTCAGAGGAGTGGACTTGGCAGAGGCGTTGGTGTTGTTCCCGGGGTTGGTTTAGTTAATTTAGTTTAGTTTGGGTGTAGGGTAGTTCATTTAGTTTGTATTGGGTGTTTTAGTGGGTTGAATATGTGGGGATTCATGTATTTTAATTCTCTAGTTAAGTTCTTCTTAACTTTTTTATTTAAATAATCGAGAGGCTTAGGGGTTGGTTGTATGGATGCGAGTAGCAGTAGTAGGGGTATTTTTATACTTCCGAATCTCTCTCGATGCATCTCATCTTCCTGTACCTTTAATTTCATGCTATTAAATGAAATTTCTCTTTGCTGATCAAAAAAAAAAAAAGTGCTCCAATCCCAAACCACTAAGGGATATGTTACCCAAAAGACAACTTAAGAGGGGGGTGAATTAGGGTTTTTACAAATAAAAATAATAATACCCTAATAAAAATTATAACTAGCATAATAGATAAATATAATTGATGAAATAAAAATAATTAAAACAAGTGTTCTAACAACTATGTCAATTAATAATTTTAGCACAATAAAAATATAAAATATAGCTATAACAATTTAAATAAAATAAAGAGATAAGAGAGAGAGAGGCAAACAAATTTATAGTGATTCGGCTTCAACTCGGCCTACGTCTACTCCTCAAGTTTCACTTGAGATTTTCCACTATTCTCTAGTTTCACAGGGTGGTAGCAACCCTCTCACAGATGGAGCAATCCTCCACAGATTTTACATAGGCTTTCTAAGTCAAGAACACTGAGTGTACTACACTCTTACAAGGTTGAAAAGAAGGTGTTTTTGTTTTCACAGAAAGTTACAAGAATTATCTCTCAAAGATAGATATAAAAATGAGACTCTGATTTTTCAGTAATCCTCACACAGGAAAGATGAGCTTAAAGCTATACGACTTAATGTATAATTTCTGAGCGAGGATGTAAACAAAAATTGAAGAACACTTCTCAGAAAATTTTTCAGAGAATAGATGTGAGTGATTATAGATTAAAGAATATTTTCTAGTTTTTTTTTTTTTTTTTGCTACTTGTTTACATTAGAGGCTTTGGTATATATAGTGAAACTTATAACCGTTTATAGCCATTGTATTTATTTGAATATATAGCCGTTTATAGCCGTTGTACTCCATCATTACTCATTTGAATATCTTCCATCCCATCATTACTAATTTGAATATCTTCCACTTGAACCTTTTGGCTTGCTGCTGGGCTGGGTTATTTAAACCTTTTGGTCTACTGCTGTGCTGGGCTGTTTGAACCTCTGTTTTGGGCTATTTGAACTCCTGATTTAATCAAATATTAAATACATTCTAACAACATTTAGGATAAAGATTTAGGTGAGAAATAACGGGACAAAATAAATTTTAATTCTATTTTTTTCTTTCAAATAAATTAAAACATAATTAAATAAATCATCAAAATAAATTTTATATTCTTTTTTTTTTCAAATAAATTAAAATATAATTAAATAAATTATCAAAATAAATTTTGGATTCTATTTTTCTCTTTCAAATAAATTAAAACATAATTAAATAAATCATCAAAATAAATAAGTCTAACAACCTCATCATTTTTTATGATGGCACACAATGATGTTTTGATTTGACTTAGGAGTAAGAAAAGCTCCACCTTAAGTCATGCTCCCTAAATTCATTTCTAAATACATAGGTTAATACATGTGTAATAAATAAGTTTTAATTAGAGATATGATATGAGACTAAGATATCAAACTATAAATACATAACATTAGATTAGTTTGAAAATAATACCATAATACATAACATCATAACATCCTAAGTTTTCTCCCCCTGTGACATCATCAAAAGGAAATCATGGGTCAGAATCTGGAGGAGGAGGAGGAAAATGATAGGGATAAATGGCATCAAAAAATAGATAATCAAAACATATATATATACATATATGCATACACATACAACTTTCCCGCGTCTTTCTATTTTTTCGCAAAACGCGGTTGCCACGCGGCCTGGCTTTTGCTTCATTGGCCAACAAAAGCAGCTCTCCTCGATTGCCGCGCGCCTCAGCTATCTTTCCCTCCTTATCTTCTTCTCTTCAGCCTCTTCTCTTCAGCCTTCTTCCTAATCACACTCGTCTGCTTCTTGTTCTTCTTCACCTCACTCTCTTCTATTTCTTCTTCCTCATCGAGGGACAAAAAAAAAAAAAAAAACTGAACGGAGGAGGCCATACCTCAGTCTGTTCGCTTCTATTTCTTTGCAACTCATTTCTTTGACATCTCTCACCTCTAATCCATGGCTTCCTCATCCCATGCCCTCACTCTGTTTCCAGACCTGAATGATCCTATAAGCTCTGCTGGACCGAGTGCCCCTACTCCTACTCTTCTTGTCATTCATCTACCTAACCTTCCTATGATGTCGATTGAGCAAAATCATGGCAGCTCAATCTGACATAGAAGCCAATCACTGCACACTGCAGTCTTGTATGGAGATGGTGACTGCGGTCACCAAATTGGCTCACCGACTGCAAAATAAGACAACTGAGACACACCAGGTCAACGCCCAACTTTCTCTGCTCCAACGCATGTACAAGGATGCGCGAGCAGAGATTTGCGCATTGAAGGCGGAGAACAAAGAGTTGAAACGG